CGCGACGCAAAGTGGATTACGAAAACTCGAGAGTTCTTTCGTTGCTCGGTTTTCGTATCCGCGATTAACCGGCTAGTTTTGATCGAGGGAGTGCGAGGCTCGAAGGGACAAGGAAAAAGCGAGTACGCGGCAAGTCGGAAAGCGGCAACGAACAGTCAGCGATAACGAGCAGAAATGACGCGTCGGCCGCACCTACGTGGTCGCGATCCTATCGTATAATCCAACTTTCATACGCCCTACACGGATACGTGTGTACGCCTAACCGGGGAATATTTTGCAACCGTCGAGGCCCCTTGGCGTCTCTCTTAACGAATTCGTCCGCGTTTCGACGAGACGAATCGACCAAATAAACACCGATTTTCACTTTCTTAGGCTCGCGATGAAACGCGAAATACCGACGATCGATCGCGCAACTCGTCGTACCGCGATCTCGCGGGTCTTGTTCGATTGTCCGCGATTGAAGAATCGAACGAGGCAGACAAACGCGGATGGTTCGAGAGAAAGGTGAAAGGAGAAAAGGAACGCGCATCCTATGCAATTACCTCTGCGCGATTCCTTGCGTTTTGTTTTCAATCGTTTATCGTAATTTAAACATCGATTCGAGCGTATCGATGCGTATCCATCGGTTCGTTTTGTTCGAATATTTCGAATCAGCGCCTCGTTACTGGACACCGATACGATCGCGCATCGATCGTTAAATTTAAAAGACGGCAGCCCATGAGCAAAGATTCGCGAGGTCAGCGCTCGCTACGACTTCGTTTTCCCGTAGCCTAAATTTCGCTAACGACCAACATTTTGACGATCGAGAGCTCGGTAACGTCGATCTTACGCGCATATCGCGTGTTACGCGCGCGAACACGCGACCATCAAGAGTGCATGAGTCACGTACGCGCGTAGGCGGTGATGGTATAACGCGCTTATCGAAACGACCGCTTTTAGGAATTATTTACGTTCAACGACCGTGTAAATAACGAACAACGGTCATCTCGTTGTCCGTCGTACGGTAGAATGCCGGTCTTCCAACGCCTCGCTTTTATGGAAATTTCTTACTACTTACAACTGATACGAACTTTTGAATGTTCGCGAAACATATTTAGCACAAGATATGTAGTTACACGTAGCTGGGTAGCGAACTTGGCGCGCGAAAGAGGTTAAAAAGGAAAAGGCAACGGAAAAACGATTTATGGCGTCGGCCACGATAAGCCCTTGCGTACCACGAAAAAAGTGAATCCTCCCAACTATCGTGTTAAAGTCGATCCGTTACAGCGGGACGCGTGAAAGCGCTTATCTAGACATTTTTATAATAAACTGTGGTTTGCTGGGGTTTTCATACGTGTACAGAGACACAAACGGG